TCCGGGATAGCTGCTCCGGCTACGCTGGTTTCCGGCCTTGGTTTCTTTCCACGGGCCCGCCACGCCCGGCAAACACAAAAACGCGCGTAGATCGCCGATCTACGCGCGATTTTGCGTTATACCAGGATGATTTTTTCCTTCTTTCTGGGCATTCAAAATACAACCAGGCCATCATCAGAATGACCACCATCAGGACCATCCATGGATGATTGACGAACCTCAGAGAGGTCACAGATTCATTGTATGTTACAGCCTTGGTACAGCCCAACAGATGTGGCAGACCAACCTTCCTTCAGCCGTAGGTCACACCAAAGCATTACACAATACAGTTTGCGACAGACCAATATTTTGCAGGTCATGCAGAATGTGAGAATTATGACGCAGCCACGCATTTTATAAAGGGTGTGTACACGACACGCCATCCCTTGCTCAATGGTGGTGATGCACTGGCCACCACCAATTTTTGCTCAAGGAGGAAAAAGTATATTCTTTACATATTTAATATATATATAATACATATATTTAAATATATATATACACACACATATATTTTAATTATTATTTATATATATATATGATATATGTATATATTTAATATCATTTTCTAGTATCAATGTTGATTTCAGAATCATTAGGAGTAGTCTTGTTGTAGCACGCCAAGGACATGTTTTCAATCCCAACATGACTGTCGCGTTCGGTTTGAGGTTTAATACTTTTGGGACCGAAACTTTTCAATGATCTTTCGATGTTGCTGTGGCCACTGTGGTCGCACTGCGATAGGTTGCCATGCCAGCTGGCCCTGCTAGCTTTTTTTTGGTTCAAAAATGGTGGCTCCCTTCGTGGAGATGAAGAGCATCACTGAACTTAGTGAGTTTCTGCCTGAGTTTGAACAGATTCAATTTTTGAAGTTTCTCTTTGAGTTTTTGACCACGCTTTGGATCGCCTCCACCCAGTGACTATGACGATGGGAAAGCCCCACCGACTTCAAGTCTGAGCCAGTGGAGCGAGCCTGGTTCCAAGCTATCGAGCTGATGGAATCACAAAATTTCAGCAAGTCAAACGCAGAAGTTTTAAACATTCACAACATGTTTTTTTGCACCTGCCCAGTGACAACTCCAATCGTCATTCAACTGGCCTTCGCCTCGATCCAGCCAGAACCTCATTTTGATGATGTTCAAACTTCAAACCTGTTACTTTCTGTGAACCTCAGGCTGAGTTGGAGGTTTGCCGTGGTGCAACCATGCCGAAGTTTGGGTTGGCCTGGACAGAGACTGGCCAATTTACTGCCACCATTGCAGCTTACCAGCCAGTGTTTGGCAAACGAGTACCTGATGTAGGCCCATTGAACCTCCGGATAGTTCCTTATTTGACATTTAAGATTCATGGTTTTCATGGTCATATGGTCCTGCAGTAGGTGAGTTTACATTTTTGGTGTGCAGTGGCCCAGGTTCCAGAAAAGTCCAAGCAGGAGAAGGCCCGCCAGACCTTGAAGAAACCTTTGAAGCTGCTGGACCACCCGATGACATTGAATACTTTTGGAACCATCAGCCCATGGCTTAGAAAACTTGTTTGTACCTGTGCATTGTATTTGTCAACGTTTCTTAGATTGAGGAGTTTTTTCAGCTACTACTACGGCATGTTCCACCCACTTGAGTTTCAGAGCGAAGCAGGCCTGCACACTTTGAGATCTGTGTAAGACTGTATAAGACTGTAAGGATGTACTTTGCAGGATCTCGCCACCATGGTATCGTCAGCAGTGCCGTTTGCATGGGCAACGTAGGGGACGGTATTTGCGCCCGACTGTGGGGGAGTATTTGTTTGGATGCTGTGCTGCAGGTATGTGCAGCATTGGCATTGCAGTCATTGTCATTGTCACTGTGGTTTTGTTCAGTTTGGTTTTAGATTCACCTGTCATGTCAGGACTCCCTACTGGATGGACAAAGGCAATTGAAGGAAGTGTTTGCAAAAAACATTTCAAGACTCTGTTCCCATGGTATGGCAATGTGCTTTGAAAGCATTTCATTGGACACTGTTGGTTTTAACTTGCATGTGTGCTCTTTCCCAGGGATATGATGTACAAAGTTCATTGCATGTTGAGGTACCCACCATCCCAGCGATTTCTTTGTTCAGTGGCTGTGGTGGCCTGGAACTCGCTGCCAACGAGTGAAGCCCTCAGAAAGTTGACAGTTTTTTTCCATTGTAATGGGTTTGGATTGGCCCAGGTTTTGCCACATCATTGCATGTGTGTTCACCTCAGACAACGCCTAAAATTTTCCAAAGGTTCTTCCAGCTTCCAGCACTGATGGCTAACAGTTTGCATACAGTTGTGTGTTTATAAAGTAAATGCATGCATCAGGTTGAAGCCGACCCTGACTGCCAGAAGGTGCTGGCCTGTCGCATGAGAGATGGCATGCTGAATGATTGCCCCATTTTTTCAGACGTTCGTTCATACCACCCCAACAAGGGGGAGGCCAGTGGTTTACTGGCTGGGTTTCCTTGCCAAGTTGCTTGGCCTGTTTTTGGCAGTGATTCAGATCAAGTTGCATTGCAAACTCACAAAATAAAGTTGTCTCCAAAAGTGGCAGATGAGGGTGTCTCCAAAAGTGGCAATCAACTCGGATATGAAGATGAACGCTCATGCCTGGTGGATGAAGTATACCGTGTCATTGATGAAGCTGAACTGTTACTCAGCTAATGGTCTCATGAGTTGTCATATCGTTGAAAGAACTGCGTTCATTTTTATCCAGTCTCAGGTCCTGGGCTCTCTTGGAGAATGTTTCTCACTTGTTGGCGAAGCCAATGAGATCATTGCTGCAGCACGTTCTCAGGGACAGCCGCTCTCTTGTTATGTGTTGTGGCACATTTTTTTGCAAAGAGCATGTCGCAACTTTTAGCCCCTAAATGCTGGCCTTGGCTAGGAGTTTCATGCACGTGGTTTTGTTGTCCAGTGGGCAACGGTGACTGGAAAGATGTGTGGCATTCACGTTTGGCCCTCAGAAGTTCAGCCATTGTCTTTGGATGGCAAGTTCAAGTCTTTAGGTTTGGCGCGAAAGGGTTTTCCTGCTGGCCTTCAAGCAGGGGGTCCACATCCCACTTTTGCAGGTCAGGCAGATTTACTCTGATGTCAAAGTAGATGGCTCAGAATCTTGAGTTGCGCCATCTATGTCAAATGCAAAATGCCGGGGATAGATGGCTCAACTCCCATTCAAAACAGGTCAGTTGCGCCATGTATGTCCCTAAAAATCACCAATATTTTGCAATCTTCTGTGCTGGTTTCCCCCGATATTTTTTTCTCAACATCAAGCTGCCTTTTTGGGACATAGATCATTCGCCAAAATCAGGCTGGGAATGCCCACATAGATGGCGCAACTCCTTCATATCTTCCGACATCTATAAACCAACCTAACCAAAATATGCCACATAGATGGCGCAACTCCCTCAGATCTCCTGACATCCATAAACCAAGCTAACCAAAATATGCCACATAGATGGCGCAACTCCCTCACATCTCCCGCCATCCATAAACCAACCTAACCAAAATATGCCACATAGATGGCGCAACTCCCTCACATCTCCCGACATCCATAAACAAACCTAACCAAAATATGCCACATAGATGGCGCATCTCCACATAGATGGCACATTTTTTCAATTTCAATATATGCATTCTGATTATTTTTTAATGTATAATATATACATACATGAACCACCCGTTGTTGGCAGTTATTTTTCTTGTTTGTTGAAGGGATGTAGGGTTTAGGGTTGGACACGATATATTTTGATAGAAATGGAAATGTCATTTTTCAACATTTAGTGCAAAAAAAACGAGAAAAAAAACCGGGGTACTACAACGATAGGTCCCCAAACACTCTTTGTGGGGACCTATCGTCTGAGTCCTGGTGGTTTTGCCTCCTATCTTGGGATAACTCTGATGTCTTTCCTGGTGGTGTTGCCTCCTGTCTTGGGATAACTCTGATGTCTTTCCTGGTGGTTTTGCCTCCTGTCTTGGGATAACTCTGATGTCTTTCCTGGTGGTTTTGCCTCCTGTCTTGGGAATTGGCAGAACCCGTTTTATGTTCCAGCTAAAATAGTGCCGTTTTCTTTCTCACCATGCTGTGCCGTCTTGTGGGTATTTTGGTTTTTGAATTGAGCCATCTACTTTTAGGTCAGTGTACATGTCCTTATTGTTTTTGTTGCTCATCAACGTGCTTTGCAGGACCACCGTTTACTCACCGCAGAGGAGATAGAGGCTGAGTCCAATTCAATTTGGAACCGCAAAGGCCATATCCCGTTGTGGACTTGGCTGTCTGATGCCCCAGTAGCAGATTCCAAGCAAAGGCTTAAGATGCTTGGCAACGCTGTCATGCCTCGCTGTGGGCGTTTGGCTTTGCATCTAATGTTGCACCAGCACCAAAAGTGATCTATAATCACTTGTCCTATTTGGTTTGTACCTTGCAGTTTTTAGACCATGTTTCGTGGAAAAATGTACATGTTGGTGCTGACGGACTCCAACGTTGAAGCGGTCTTGTGACCTGCATGCCTGTCGCAGAGCTGTAGAACACTGCCTTGTTTTGAGAATGTTTGTGGATAGGATCTCCAACTGAGTCTGTTTTCACTACAGTCACTACAGCTGGAGACTGATGACAAATTCGAGAACATTTAAATTCGCATTCGTTGCTGAGTAGTCGGACCCCGACACTGTGACCGCCGAGATCCTGGATCGTGATTCCGGCCAGTTTCCACATTGATGCTTCCAGCTTTGAGCTCCCAGTTTTTTCCAGATCGCCACACTTCCAAGCAACAAGTTGTCTTCTGATGTTCATTGAAAGTGTTCTGATATGCCCTTTTGGGATGACAGTCACTGCAGCCATTTTAGTTTTTCAGGCGGTGGAGATTTGAGATGAGAAAAATTCCTGACAAACCAGTTGGTAACTGGTGGGCCGCAGTGTACTGTAAAGGTGAGAACACGTGTGGTCACAGCGGCTTCCCATCAGATTCTGATGGAGAATCAGTCGCCGAGACTACTGCAGACACAACTGACGATGGTGCCAACGCAGCGTCCCCAGAGAAGCGTTTGGAAGAGGCAGGGTTCAGAATGAACTTAAGTTGAATATTCACTGGTGACCTGAATGAGGTTTAGCTATCTTTAAAAAAATCTCAGCTTACTTGTTGGTAGTTGCAGATCGCAGCCTGATCTCTTGCAAGGCATTGTTGGAGAAAACATTTAGGTATGCATCTTTTGAAACATCATGTAGTTGAAATTGAAAGCTTGGTCCAGGCTGTCGTGCCCCATAGCGCTGCCGATCGCTCAACAAGTGGTGTTGCAGAGGTCTGCAGTTCACCTCAAACTTTGTAAGGTAGATTCCAATCATTGAGTGTTACTGTGGCATCTTCATCCCATCCAGTCGTCGTGGCTTCCAATCATTCAGCGTCAGGCCAACAGATTCCAGAAGGATGACCAGCTGGTTGCAGGCTTGGTGTTGGTGAGCCTCATTCCTTTGTTTGCGAAAACCTTGCTTTGTGAGGAGCCGGAACGCAGTCTGTGAAGAGAGCATTGCCTGAAGGCGAGGTGTGCTGAACTTTCCCAAGCAATTTCCAGCACATGCCTTCTTCATCTAATAATTAGTCTGATGTTTCCTCCATTGCCCTATTTTGATTTCAAGTTTTCCTGCCTGGCAGGAAGCTGCCAGCTTGAAGGACAACGCGGCGCAATGAAACGGCTGAAATCCAGCTTTCAGCTCGAATGATTTGTTTCAGGATTCACTGAAATTCGTTGCTTCAGCTTGCGGTGGTTGTGGCCACCAAGCCTGTCACAGCGCACACTGACTTGGAAAAAAAGTACTAGCTCACTAGGCTTCGCAGACCTATGATTCAAACGCTGGCAGACTGATTTGATTTGCAGATGGCAGCTGATGTGTGCCACCCATTGCCCACTTTGTTTTTGCTCCAGGGCCATGGGGGCCTTAGTACTTTGGTGGTTTCAGTTTGAATTTATTTCAATGTGACCTGATACTGGTATCCAGCTTATAGCTTTTATGCCAAATAGTATTGGTATCCAACTTATAGCTTTTATGCCAAGTAGAATAAGCACTAAAGATTTTGCATGTCTACAGCCCATCGACTTTGATTGGCCGATGCCAGTTTCACAATGTCGCTGTCTAAGTCCAGCTCTTCTTCGAAGCTCCCTGACATTCTCACTTTAAGTGACGACGAAGGGCCTACGACTGGAACTCCGGCAGTGCAGACCAAAACTGAGCCAAGTTCAAGTTCAAAGCGCGGTGGCACACTGAAGCTTTGGACCAACAAGCGGAAGCGAGACTTGGCTCCAGTGAAAGCCCGCTTGAGAGAAAAGGTGTTGAGGCGCCTGTACACAAAGTGCCAGTGTGCGGTGGCTGGAAAACGTGATAGTTGCTTCTGCCCATTCCGCAATGATGAGCCTGCCACTCAAGAGATTGTTCGTTTGCGAGAGCGACTCTTTGAGCTTCACAAGCAAGATGCTGATGAAGAGGTTCCATGATGATTCCAAACTTGACTAGTAACCACTTGCCTCACCCAAGGCTAAATCTCCATTGAGCGGATTTGAACTTAGATGATTGTTGCAAGTCCACTCTTTTGACGTCAATTGTTTGACCCCTTCCTTGAATTTCCCTGAGGTTGTCCGTATGCTTACTCCAGCAGCATTGGCAAGAGAAAGCCCTGGTGATGCAGCATTTGAGCGGAGGTCTATTCGTATGTTTGGCCGGCACCTTTGCCAGGATGCCTTTCGTTCCCTGCTAGGGATTGGGTCTGCTCGGTTTAGACGCTTGTGGCATTGCGCCCAACATGGTTGCAAGCCGCCAACAGATGGGAGAAGCTTGAAAAAATCACACTCCCATTCCAGTGGACCGAAGTCAGCCAACAGGCAGGCAATTATAGGATTCCTCCAGGAGCTCTACATCACCTTGTCAGAGCCTCTCCCTGAGGCAAAGGGGCCTGTGCGAGGTGATCGCAAGCTCGCATTTCAGCGACGGCGAGGGAGAAGACCAAGGATGGCTGCCAAGTTACACAGGAAGCAGGACACTCCAGACATGCGACTTCTTCCTCCTGGAACATTTACAGATTACCTCCAGATGTTGAGAACCAGGGATGGCTGCGAAAAAAATTCTCTCAAGCTGTTCACTTCAGCAACTTGGCAGACAGTTTGTGTCTCCCAGACACTTTTTCTCCAGCCACCTTCTTTCTTTGGGATGGCCAATTCAATCTGCCCCAGTTTGCCAATTTTTGAATCCATTCAATTCAATGCAAACCTTCCCAGGTTTGGTCTGAGTCCTTTGGCAAGAAGTTGGCCATAAGGGAGCCAACCGGCCACGCGATGTGTCAAATTTGTTGCAGACATAAACACATCCTGAAGTCGCTGAGTGGCGACAGGTTGGGACGCCAGTGTCAGATGCAGATGTACAGCGCCCACCTCAAAAGGCAATACGAAGACCGATGCCTTTATTGGCAGGCGCGTGCTGCTAGCAGAATGAATGCCATCACTGCAGACAGCACACAACAAGTGTGCTGCATCGTGGACGGCATGGACCATTCGAAATTCCGATATCCTCGCAGTTTAGCAATGTTGTCGAAGGAGTACGATTTTCTGCAGCGGCCTCACTTGAACATGCACGCCATCTTGGCCCACGGCCATATGTGTTTACTTTCACTGGCGGACATTACGGTTCCCAAGGACGCATCCTTTTGTGTTGAGCTTCTGAGCCACTGCTTGCACTGCATCAGTGACCGCTTGGACCTCAGGGTGACGCGGTTGCTGGTGCAGTGCGACAACACATGTCGCGAACTGAAGAACAATTGCACCTTACGGGCCATGAGCCAGTGGGTGGCAACTTCCAGGCTGTGGAACTGCGAACTTCGATGTTTGCAGAAAGGACATTCACACGAAGATGTGGATGCATTTTTTGCAAATGTAGCAGTGACAGTGGAGAAATACAACGAGCTCCATCGGCCTTGCAACTTCCAGGAGATTTTGCAGCAGTACTTGGATGGCGGCGCCCGGAGACATGAACCATTGAAGCGAGTTGTCCAAGTGGATGAGGTCCGTGACTGGTGTCTTGCCTGACTGACAAAAAGGTTTGCTGCTAGCTGCTAACTTTATCCTGAGCTGTTTTTCCATATTCACTGCAGAAAAGGGGGGTCCGAGCAATCCAAAGCACAAATTCCTGACATCAGGTCTACTTTCTTGAATGTGGCCTTTGATGGTGCTCACTTGAAGGGAATAGGTGGACCTGGAGCCCCTCACACCTTCCTTCTGGAACGCTTTTGTGACACAGGCGAGTTGAGCTTCAGCTTGACTTCGTCTCTCAGCATATTGTCTGATGGCTGACTGAGCAGGTCTTTCCAGGGATGTCATTGACAACAAGTTCTGGTCAAAAGTCCGGAAGGAACCAGAACATCCGTGCGATGTCGTTTTGAGGACTGGTTTTAGCTTATTTGTTGGCTCAGATGTATTGAAACTGCTTATAGTCCTGCTTATTTTACAGATATATATATATAGGGCGAAACACATTTGCAGGCAATCCAGTAAAGTCAACAATGCATGCGTGTACCCGCCCTAACCTTTAAAATGCGCAGCTCTTCGTGCCACGGTTTTTTCCCGAGCCACAAAGTTCTGAGTAGCAGTCTCGTCTTGACTGACACTGAGTGAGCTAGCCCAATGACAATCAGGGCTGGCAGCCCAATGCAGAATCTAGTCTGAAAGCAGTCAGTTTTTTTTCTCTCAGATGCAGCCAACTTACTGGCACCAGCCGTGAATTTCGGTGCATCTGTCTGTTTGTGGAGAGAGAGGGAGGGAGAGGGAGAGAGAGAGACTTGCGCATTGACTTGCGCCCGAAAAGTATGCAGACTGAGTCTGATTCCTTTCTGACTTTCTGAATTGCCTGCAATGAATTTCTACTGGATATTTGTGTGACTATACCTTCCACACAGACCGTCCACTGAACAATGATATCAATATCCTTTCACGTCCTCTTTGCTTTAGTGTCGGAGGCCAGCCTAGTATGGTTTGTAGAGGACGAAGCAGTTCATGAGCAATGAGCAGTTTTGCGGCCGCCCAATCCTTTTTTTGCCATACTCTGTGGCAAAAGACACTGCCGAGCGTGGTGCTGTTCCAGAAGGCACGCCACCCTTCAATATAGAGGCAATGACTGGTTCAAAGAAATTGATTCGTTGGACAGAATTGTTTCTGTTTAGCCTCCTCTGCAGTGTTCCTGCCAGTCACGGGAGCCAAACGGTCTGTGGACGAGAAGGCTGCAGCTAGTTGGAGAAAAGCTGCAGCAATCATGAGTTCTGTCCTTGGTTTCGAACAACACTTACCCCAGTCAGCTTGTTGAACAGTCTTGTGCCAAGGAGCACCTCCATTCAACATGACAGAGGCAGCCGACCACTTGACTGCACTGGCCAATGGCACTTTGCCTCAGCATCCCCCACTTCCAGTTGGAAGGACAGCTTCAGTTACAGTTTTCTGGTCGCTGATCTGAGAAGAGTTTGACAGCCACCTCTGCAGGATGTTGCCTTCTCCTGGGCCAGCAGTTGGTCCAGGTCAGTCTGTTCCAAGGCACAGAGGACAGAACCTGGAACCCGCAGCTTGACACATTCAGTTCAAGTCTCTATCTTCGAAAAATTACTTGCGTAGCATTGTTCATGTTACCTATTTAGTGAGAAAGCCAATTACTCACACGTCGAGGCTCCAAACCGTTTGGACTTGCACACTGAGCGGGTGAGCAAGCGCACATTGGACGCATACAAAGTGAAACGGAAAACGGTGCACATTTTTCGTGCTGCTGCCCGTTTGTGGGCAGCAGGTGTCGCTTTTGACCGGGCCCTTGAGATTGCAACTGCTGCCTTTGATGCGGCAGTCGAAGGTTGATTTTGGCAATCCAGTACAAGATATTGAAGTGGTTTTTCTCCATTTGCCTTTAGCTTATCACGGGCTCTAGATTTGATTTTTCCTCGCCCTCTCCTTCTCTCTGACTCATCACTCTTTCCTCCCTTCTTCGCTCTTCCGCGCCTCTTTGCGCCTCCTCCGCGTCTATTTTGCCCACTCTCCAGTCTACTATTATTAAGTACAGCCAGCTGGCAGTCTGACAAGCCTTCATCAGGTCTAGTGGGCCTGAACGGTAGCACGCGCACACACTGCCATGAGCCCTCAGAATCTGCGCTGCTTGCTGGATCTGTGCAGTATTGCTGGCTCTATGCGCCCTAAATGGTTAATGCCAGAGAAGATATCATTTAGTGTCAGAATGTATGTCAGGTAAATGTACACAATGGAGATGCCACATACACATTTATGTATAATCACATATTCATATCTACATTAACATACACCATACTATACATATATAATTAGTTGTTTGTCATAATTACACGGATTTTATTTACATGTCAGGTAGAATGCCGATAACGTGAACAAATATTCTAATCTTTGCCAGATAGAATGCCAGATCAAATGCCGATGGGGTATGTCAGGATATATGCCAGATAGTCATACCAAACAAAACTATGGCCGAGATATTGTCAGAATTTATGCCACGTAAAACTCCAGCTCAGGCAAAGATGTTTACAGCCATTGTGTGTCTGATTCAATGAAGGCAAATGGCAAACAGCAACTTAAAACAATACATGCAAGACATAATGTCTAGCAAATATTTTTCTGACATGGCAATAAAATTTGAACCGCTGACATGACATAATCGTTGTTTGAAGAAGAAACATAGTTCGAATGCTAGGTAGAATGTCAGTGATTGATCTCTAGATATAATGTCTGAATAATGAAAGGATAAAACCGGTTGAATACCAGATATGGAAGCCAGAACGCATCCATATATTTGGGGTAATGTTGCAGAATAGGTGTCAGAATTCTGATGTCAGAATACACACCAAGAATAATTTTCAACATCAAACGGTGTCAAAATATATACTATACATAAGATTACACAAGGGTTTCTGTTTCAACAAAGAAAGAAGCGTAATGAATGTTGTGTGTGTTGTGCAACACATAGTTGACACATAAGATATCAGAATGGTGGGGATCATTCGAAGTACACTTTTATATCTTGGACACAACATACTGATATGTGTTTTGAAACAACCCAAATAACATTTTGTCGTGGTAGACCCTATAAAATTAAGTTTTTGTTCCAACCAGCACTACAACATTTTTCAACACAAAAAAACAAACACTACATATTATGTTGACATGTAACAAGAATTGGAATGTGTTTGAGCATCAAATGGCCAAAGATCAGCCAGTCAACCCGTTATCACTGTATGCCTGGGTTTGAGCAGCCCGTTGTTGCACAACGAACATCCCATTTTCAGCATGTTTTTTTTTGAAGAAAGCCGATGGCTTTCTACAAATCCAGGGGGGTTCGTGCCAATTGACTTTTATCCAAGAGTAGCTTGTTTCTAAGCAACTGAGCTTGAACACTTGGGCAACCATCAGTTTTTGCATAAAGCCAATGGCTTTATGCAATCTTAGGGCCGTTGAGATAGATGATTTTTCTTGTAGATTTCCTCCTGCGCAAAAAACAACCCAAAATGTCAAAAAAATTGGGTGCGGCAGCGTAAGTAAGGGCATTGTGTTTGCTTGAAATCATTTTGTCACGCCCGGAGGCAATGTGCAAGTTAGAAGTTCGTTTCTGCAGAAACCCGTTGTCATTCAACAAAAAAAGTTGGTGCAGATTGAGCAACATTTTGTTGCAAGGTGTCTCTTTGCAAAAAACACAGTGTATGTTGTTCTGTTTCAACACAAAACAGTGTCAAGTTTTTGTGATCCAACACAAAACAATGATAAGTTGTTGTGATCCAACACAAAACAATGTCAAGTTGTTGTGATCCAACACAAAACGTTTTGAAGTTGTTGTGTTCCAACACAAAACAGTATCAAGTTGTTCGGATTTGACACAAAACAGTATCAAGTTGTTCGGATTTGACACAAAACCATTTCAAGTTGTTCGGATTTGACACAAAACCATTTCAAGTTGTTCGGATTTGACACAAAACCATTTCAAGTTGTTCGGATTTGACACAAAATATTTTGAGTTTGGCTGTTTTTTTTCACAGATCAACTCGAACAGTGTGGCTTCATTACGTCACCTGGGGTCTTTTCAAGACGACATTGGTTTCGACTGTTTTTTCCTGCCAGGTGAGCCCCAAGGAAAAGGCAACTGTCAACTGTGTGGGCACTCGCCCTGTGAAAGGTTGAGCAGCGCAGAGACTCTGTTTTTTTCCCTCGCATGAACAGGTTCGTTTTTTTTTGGGTGTGGCTCGGCCACTTTGAAAGCAGATAGCTTTACACTTGGCCTCGTGCTCCGGAAGCCCATTTAGGCACACAGTTCTCCATTTTTAGGATGGCTAAACGCAAGTCCCAGACTGGCAAAGAGGCCCAGCCGAAACAGAAGGCTGTCAAATCTAGCCCTGAAGTTCTTCCAGAAGACACTGGCGCAGTGAAGCTCTTTAATGAATGGCTGCCATTTGTCAGCAATCATTTTTTGAAAGCTATGCTGCCAATGTTGAATATTTTTTCAAGCAAACATATTTCCAATGAAAACTGTTTTGTATGAGGTCGAGCAACTTGGAGGAGCACAAGAGCATTGACCGCTACTTGAGCCACACTTTCGCCCAGGAGGACTGATGCATTGATCTTGATTGGTGTTTTTAGAGCAAGATGCCATGCAGGAAGACTTCCGCGAGTTTTTGATTTGGATGGAGAAACAGTTTCCACCTGAAGCTGGGGTGTCACTCGGCTACAACTGCCCAGTTGCTTTCATGTATGTAAAATGTAGTTTGCAAAAGAGTTCAAGTCTTGCAGGTCTTACTGCCAAGTGGGGGATCTGGACCGGAATGGACCAGTGGCACTTCGCCCTTGGCACCTTGTCCACACTCCAGAGTGTGGACTCAAAGGGGTGCTTGAACCAGAGCCTTGTCAGTAGATAGTTTGTCAGGCTCAGTTTTTGGCATGGTCATCCAACAGTTTGTCAAGTCAGCTCAGTTTGTTTCATGACTTTACTTCAAGAATCTGTGTTGAGGACACCCATTTGATGCTGTGCCAGCTGATTGTGAACCGTGGGCAGGGGCCTCATGCTGGCAAAGTTACAGTTTTGTTGCAAGACATTTTTTATAACTTGCCTTCAGGCTGCTATCCAATCCAGACTTGCCTGGAGTGGAACGCCTGGCAATTTCTTCGATGCGCCCCGATGTTGGCTGCAAGCCACCATTCTCAATTGCTCCTTCAGCTGTTGGTGACTACAATGATGGATATCTATGGCCCCAACATGCCTTCATGGTGAAAGGTTGGAGCAGGAGTTTGTCTGGACTGACTGTGATGCTCGCCATGTACCAGAGTCCTGAGTTTCTCAAGGCCAGGTCCCTCAGACATTCTTTGTTTGAGCCTTGGGGTGAGTTGGAATCTTGCAGGCTGTGCCAGAGACAGTGCTGAGGCACTGGGGGGTCAGCGCTTGTTGTTGTCAAGACTTAAGCATTGATTTGTTCATCACAGCCACTGTCCTGTTGCCAGGACATTCCAGACAGTGCATGCGACAGTGTGTGTGGTGGCCGGAAAGTCAGACCCATCACAGCTTGTGGCAGAAAACAGAAGTCACGCGATTGCAGCAGAGTTTATCTGCCAGATGAGGGTCTCTAGACTCTTGTTTTTATGTCGCACATTGTCTTCTTCTCCGGTTCACTCTTCGCCTCTCCTGTTGTCAGATAACATGTTTGAATATAGATTGTTTTTGGATAAACGCCAGATGAAATTGCCAAAAGAAAAAAGAGATGGTCAGATAATATGTGGGTATGAATCTCAGAGAGCATGAATAATATCTTTTCTTGGGTAAACAGAACATGATCATAGACACAATGCCAGAAGAATCTTTCAACACACAATGATAGATAGAGTGCCAGGCTCAGAACGTGACAGGCAAACTGTGGTTTCAGACAACATGCCACACAGAGGGTCAGCTAATTTGCCAGAATATTGCCTCACAAACGGTCAATGAGAATGTCAGAATATATGTGGTATGATAAAGTCCAAACAAGTCCCATACTAAGATCACGATACGTGGGCAAGATTCTTTGACAGAAAAGATGCCAAAACAAATGACAACCAAGACAATGTTATAATTTTAGACGTGCCGTCATAATAATGACTCAAAGTAAGTAAAGGATAGCGCGGTTGAAAAAAGTGCCAAGTAGAACATCATACCAAACCAGAATGTATGTCAGGACAAACGCCAGATACATCAGATGGAACATGTGTCAGATAGAATTCTGCAACGTATTTCAACACAACTGTCACATGAATAGCAGATGAGGTAAGTGCTACACCACAGAATAAAGAAAGAAACGATGTCAGACACAACAGAAGACACAATAGAAATCAAAAAATATGTCAGATAGATCAAAGAAAATTGTAGAAAGACATGTGGAAATATATGTCAGTGCAATGTCACAACGCATGTCAGTTCTATTGTCCAGAACACAAGCCAGCTTCATTAGCAAGAGTAAATTTAGATGCTGCCCAAAAAGGCCAGAATATATGCATGATAAAATGTCGCAATCTGTATGAGATGAGATGTGTCAGATAAAAATGCGTAATGCATGTCTTTTAGAAAGTGCCAGATGGAATGATGAATATTTCTCAAATGAGATGCCAGATAAAGGTCAGACAGTTTGATAACAAGACATATGCTGGATAGATTGTGAGATAAGCTGTCGCATAGAATGTCAGAATATATGTCAGGTAAAGGGCCAAATTGTTTTTCAGTTAGCATCATGCTAGATCAACAACAGAAAAAGACATATCATATGAACTGCTCATACATCACATTTCATCAAAATTTAGTGGGGATCACTGGAAGTAGAATGATAGCGGGCTTTGATTGTGAGTTAGATTTGGATTGGGCTGCTTGCTGGTCAGGCATAACACTTGGCAGCACGAGTGTGCGCCGCCGGCCAAACTGTTTCAATTTGGTTTGGCAAATGCGTTTGCTTCACCGCTTGGGGCAAGACGGTGGGAAAGAATTGCAGGCAAACCTTTTGCTTGTCAATTTTGTTGAAATACATTTTCATTGAATTGTCATTCAGCCAACCATCTGTGCACTGTGATGGCACATGGAAGGTTTTCCACCCGGCAGGTTTGGAACAGTGCGAATGAGCTGGTCCAGGCCTACTCCATAGGTCGAAGTGAAGCTGCAGCAGCACTCAATCTTCTGAACTCAGTGGCCCCATCGGTGTGTGAAGAGTTGTCAAACTTGGTGAAGCACCTTGTATGATTATTGAAACGCTTGCTCAGAGTTCAACATTGCAGTTTACAACATGTCCTAACAATCCTTTACCTTCCTGCGGCCCATCTCTCACACTTCCTTTTCGAGGCAGCACAGCATGCAAAAGTTTCTCACACACGAAGCTATTGCAGCGGGAGTTTTCAATGAAGGGACGTGCTGCGCAACCAGCTCTCAATCCGAGTGGGCTGACGTTTTGACAGTGAATCGACAGAACTTGACCTGGTTGATCCAAAGGATGTCCAGCGACTTCAACAGCCAGCATACCAAGATGCGAAAGCCCTGGAGTTCGAAGGAGCTGGTGCCTAGTAGCCACCATTTAATATTTAGTTTTCCTTTCTCCTGCCTTGTTGGGTTTAGTTCGGCGTTTGAAATTCATATTCAAAGAAACTGTCCCTTTGCGACCCCAGAGTGAGGAACCTTTGCAGCGAGCTTGCTGCGCCTTTGTTGCTTCCTGTGTGGCTTTCAGATCCAAATACCCGAGCGACTTTGTGAAGACAGAGATGCCTGCTATCAACAAAGGGTTGCTCATTAACAGCAAGATTAAAATTGACACTGACTAGTTTCACTTCTTCTCAAGCTTGAATGCGAGAAACTGTGCTAGCCTTTAGCAACCGCTGCCCGTTGACAGGTTCTTGCTCCGGCACGGCGACGCCGAGATCCTCGCCATGATGGACGACAGTGCCCCGCCAATTGACCTGATGCGCATTGGCCTTTTCCGTGTGGCCATCATGAAATTCCAGAAGAAGGCCAGAGCCAAGACAGTTTGCCCGAAGTCATTCCTTTAGTGATAAATAACTTCCCCAACTGTATAACTAACTTTTACTTCACCTTGTAGGTGGATGACGAGAAGACTCAAGCAGCTGAAGAGTTTCTTGGCTAATCAGTTACTGCGCACTCCTTCAGCTACTATTCTTATTATTGCTACTATTATTATTATGGCATTTGATGGTTTTTCCATGGTGTCTGAAATCAAGCCAATTGATGGCATCAGCAATTGATTGAATGAATTGCCTTTCCCAAGGCTGGCTGATGCCATGACGAAAGCTTCCTGCGACCAGACCTCAAGTTTGTTGGTGCACGATATTTCCAATATCCAGCAGTACTGTGAGAAAGTTGAGGAGCACTGTCAGCGACAGGCAGGAGGTTTTAGCAGGTTGATTCTGAGGAAAATTTTGGTCACCCAGGTCTTGGTTCAAATTGCTGTGAACATCACACACACACAATGATGTTCTTGCTTGCAGGGCGCCTTGGACCTGAAGTATTTGGCCACCAGGTTTGCGAAGGGGCAAGAAGCTGCGTCCAGCTTCATGTCCAAAAAACACCATTATGTTGGCCTCGAGACTTCCTTCCTTGAATCCCAAGCGAGCTTGCTAGCCTTGCAAGCAGCAACTTCTCACAGTGGCCCATCCAGCTTGCATCTTGTTACAACTTTGCTGGGGACTGGGAATGACCGGAGAGCTGAGCGAACTTTTTCCTTCTCTTCTCAATCCTCTTATTGATGGCAGGCCCTTTTTTCTGTCCTTCCACCCATTTTTACAATGCTGAGGCCCACAATCCTGATCCTCGATGCTTCCTTGTGGCCATCCCGTCGTTTTCTCAGAATGTTTTGAACTGTCAGTATATAGTCAGTAATTTCCATTGGCCTGTGAGGCCCATTGGCCTTGAACGAGGCGTGCGAGGTGATGAAATCGGTGTGCCATGGAAGTTGCGACGCCATTGGGTTGGTGTTGCTTCCAATCGCGCATGCATCCACCCACCAAATGACAGTCGTGAAGAATCGGAGGATTTTGGAAGACCGGCTCATGCAGTGCCTCGCATATTATTTGCTTTGATTTGTTTATTGGGCACATGTCCTCTGAGCGACAGTCAGATCTAGACTGAGAGTCGAAATCTTCATAATTTATTTCAATTAGTTCCAGCCCGGCCCTCCTAATTACTGTTGGTTGAGGCAGATGGAGGGCACAGATGTCACCCTGCAGTTCCATGATTCCCATCATGGCGGAGACAAGAGGAAGAGAACTCAGCCCGGTGATTGCCTCAATTTCGTGCTGTTTGTCCAGCTTCATTGAACTGTCTTCAGTGACAAAGTCTGCAGGTCTTCTGTGCGTCTCCAACATCCACAAGGGACATGGGTTCAGCAAGTCCAAGGCATGGCTGGGCATCATTGGCCCACTGCAGCGTGCCAGGGTTTCTGACTTGATTTCTGATGACTATGACCGCCCGGCAAGCCCACCGCAGCGTGTTCCTAGGATCGTATTTAATGTGTCATTCAAAAAGTTTCCCCCTGAAGCTTCCTCCTTTTTATATTGATTTTCCTTTCTCCTTGCACCTCAGGCTGCTCAGCGAGGAGTTGATTGCACTGAGCAGATTCTCCGGTTTTTGATGGATGGAACAGATTTCGCTGAAGGCACTCCCATATTTGTTTGCGAGTTGCTTCACAACAAGTGCTCCGACAGCAGAATGAGTTTTGCCTTAAAGTTTGTTCTGCACAGCCCATTGCTTAAACCAGAGTAACGTTGTTTCTGAAGGTACAATGAGTGGGGCAAAGCCACATGGCATTTGCAGCGCAAGTTCCTTGAGAACAGCCGTGGATTCGATTGGCACTTTTGCGCCTTCATGCTCAGTGATGATGACCCTCCCCCGCTGGAATGCAGCAAGCTCATGGCAACTACGATTCAGTCAGAATCGGCCTCAGTTTACCCAAAGTCTTGAAGCACCCTTCTTCTGAGATCCTGATGCCTTGTGAAAACTGATACCAGGAGTGGTGGGATGGAAGCGAGCAAGCAGGGCCAGCAACGCGGCCTCAAACGGCTTGTCCAGAGGAACTCCCAACGTTGAGGGTTCTTGCGATTGATGGCTGCAAGACCAAGCTACTCAGCAAGATGCTTTTTTCATGTTCACTTAAATTTCCTTCTATTCGCAATCAAATCCAAGGTTGCCTACGTCTGTGAGCGAATCGTTGGGTGTCCACTTGCCAAAGTTGCAGCAGATGGTGGACAAACTCAATGAGAGCCCCATCCTCCGCTACCTTCAGCCTCAGACTACTACTCGGGATGGGGCTGGAGCAGGAGCAGCTTCTGGTGCTGGCAGCAACCAAGCTGGTGCTACTGCACGCCCTCAGCGCACCATGTGCATGCCTGCCTTTACAGCGGCAGAATCGCCCCTGAAGCTGGACCGCGTTGCAACCCCCACTGCCCAGATGTCGATGGATGAGTTCGAGTCGAAAGAGTAGCCCGACGATTAGCCTTCATGTAATATGATATATTATATAGTTACTTGTTTACGCCGAACCAACAAAAACTAAGACATGAAGGATAAAGGTCACACACATAGAGAGAGTTTTGAAGCTGTTTCTCTGTCAGGTTGTTTGCAAGCTGCTACGTCCCCGGCAACGATTCCATCACTTTTGCAATCACGGCTGATTTCCAGTTCTGGATGATCAACACTTCGACCGCTGATATCAACCTTGCCGCCTGCGAGATTTTCGGCTTTGGCCTGGGATCATTCAGTGAAGTTGGCATAGGCCAGGTCATTGCTGTTGTGGAGTGCTCCAGTGCCAAAAATTATTTTCTTAGATTAGACTCTTGCGCGAGGTGTGGCGCGAAACTCTGGGGACAAGTACTTGGCTTGGAGCATGGCTTCAGATGTGGAACCCATGGTTTTTGTTGACGCAGCTGCCAACAATGCAAAGGGCATTCGCTGCCTCGCTGAGCTTGCCCACCACAGTTGCCAAAGCACAGGCATCACAGAGCTGACCATGATTGACCATGACCTGAAACCGAAGCTGGAGGCAGGCCACAACCTTTCCACTCAGAGATTCACTGACCAGCTCCTGACTTGATTGACTTTGAGTCCAGTTAGCAATCTTTTGTTCATTGGGTGCACTGCCAGGCTGAGACTGGCAATCCACTGGCTTTTCGCTACGAGGTGAAAACCAAACCACGCGTGAACGCTCTGGATCCCAAGGAGTTAAGTGCAGAGCAGAGCCAGAGCCGACTTAACATGAGGGCAACCATGTTGGGCAACAGCATGGCCGGAAATCTGAAGAAGTTGCAGGGCATGGATTTTCTCCGTGTTCTTTGGGAGGTCAGAAATGGGTTGTACTGTAATTAGCCCTGTAAGCACTTTGCGTCCTATCATCTCCATCTCCTTCTGGCATTTTTGTTGCTTCTTGCTGCAGGTGAGGATCACGCCATCTCCTGCAGTGGTGACTCCCGTGAAGCCCAAGATGTGGCTGACAGCTGCTTTGTGCCTTCCAAAGCTCAGTGCTGTCCAGCTTTCTTAGCTACAGTTACCCCATGGATGCAAATCGCAAGGGCCAGTTTTTGGCATGAAACACCGTTTCATGACTGGCCTTGACCTTGAAGTCACACACAGACGGACGTGGATCAAAATTATGTTGTGTCCAGGCGCCCACTTTGCAGATTCAGGCGATCACAGTTTACATACTGCACTAGTTGACAATCAAGTAGCTGATTCACTGGCAGCTGGATCAAGCTTCTGTTCGCTGCACATGATAGGTTTTGGCCATGCCTTTACCGTCTATTACTGAGCTTTCTGATGATGATGCTGGGGCTGGTTTAAGTGTTGCTGAGGGTTCTGTTGCTAGGGAGGCCGAGGATCCACCGGCGCCGGATCCACCAGCGCCGGTCCCAAAGGCAAAGGCTGGTGTCAAGAAGGACAAAACAGTGAAAACACCAAAGGCGAAGCCAGGTGACAAGCAGAAAACCGGTAGTTCTGCCCTGAAACGCCCTGCCGCCAGAACGCCGCCGTTGAAAAAACCGGCTGCTGCCGGCCCTGTGAAAGCCTACAAGTACATGTACTACAAAGAGGGAAAGTATGGCATCAAATACAACGGCCGCGAAGTGATGACAGTCTTTGCCTCAAACCATTTTTGAAATTCTTGCACCTTGAAGTGCCACTCATTGTCCACTTCAAATTTGGACCTGATTTAAGTGCTTCTCTACTATAGGTGAAGCCCGCGGATGGCATTTCCCCTGACCAATTGACTGAAATTGCAGCCGTGGCCTCAGCTAGACACCTCTAGCATGTATCCAGACAATTTACTTGTCATTGTGCTTTCAGGAGGAGGCTCGAAAGCAGATTGAGAAGGGGCAAGACAAGACCACAGTGATGGAGATGGTGGTGCCAAGATTGAAAATCATTTTTTCAAGTGTTCATTCCCATCACTTGCCAGTTATAGTCTTTACTTAATTGTCGTGGCCCAGGACCAAATGAAGCAGTCCTTGCTGCAGAAGGGCAAGGGTGCAGCTGACGCTGCTGATGAAGATCCGGAGATGCTTCCCGATGACAATGAACAAGGCGAAGAAGAGGAAGCTGTTCAAGATGAAGAGATGGAGGATGATAGCAAATAGTTTAGTCGCTGTGCCAGAACTCTGGCGTCGAATGTTGCTGCCAAAGTTTCGTTTGGCTCTTGGCTGATTTGCCCTAGCAGCCCAGTGTGTCCATGAAGATGTGACTGACAGTCCGAGCGAACAGCGGAGAATGAAAAACTGCTCGCTTAAAGGTTTCTGTTGATGAGATGTTTGAATCTCTAGGGATTCAATCTTTAATAACTGTTGAACCGGAAGCTGATTTCCAGCAAAGTTTGAAACAATACTGGCTGCGGAATGGCGCACGCACCTTCTGTATTTGTTTTGCGGAAGAACTGAGCAATAGGTAGCCAAACTGGCTGAGATTTTGGTTCATGCAGTTACAGAGTATTATGCTGGTCAGTTGTTCTCTGGTGTCCACATTTTGAATTTTTGATCTCTTCAGTGGCTTATTTATGGATGCTGACGCTGAAGTCATGTGATAACAACATGCGATTGTTTTTGTTAATTGATTTCCGCATTGAAAGCATTGGGCCGGGCGTTGGGCTGCTTTGATTTGTGTAGTTCCTACTTTTGGGAGCAATGCTAGTACACATGTTGGATGTTTGGCAATGATCTGGGTGTGAGAAGGGCTTTGCTTGGGTTTGCCTCCAAGTATTGAAACTGATCAGACTTTTAGCATTTTTCTGTTCCAACATCGTCATTTTCCCCAATGACAATAATATCTTATGATATGATATATAGATTTATATTATATCATAGGGGGAACTGCAACAAGTGTAGTTCCCCCCCTTCACATACAAGATCTATAGAGTATTACGCGGCGCACGCTTTGCATGCTTTGTACATTTTGCACGCTTTGCACGCTTTGCACGCTTTGCACGCTTTGCACACTGTGACCTTTGATCAGTTGAGGTGACCAAAGTGCAACTCCTGCTGGATTCCACTGCTGTTACAGTTCAGCTTTCGATTGGCGCATGCTGAATGCTACAGTTGCAGCAGCAGTGCAGCAGCTACTCAGGGCTATGATGCTAATATGTCAGCATGTCGCTCTAGCACGTTTTTGAGGGGTCTCTTTAGAGCCTATGTCTGCCTCCATTTTCTGCATTACTGTACCCTTAACTTTCTCCATTTTCTGCATTACTGTACCCTTAACTTTCTCCATTTTCTGCATTACTGTACCCTTAACTTTCTCCATTTTCTGCATTACTGTACCCTTAACTTTTCCCCATTTTCTGCATTACTGTACCCTTAACCTTTTTCCAGTTTCTGCATTTCTGTACCCTTAATTTTCTCCATCTTCTGCATTACTGTATCCTTAACTTTCTCCACTTTCTGCATTACTGTACCCTTAACTTTCTCATTTTTTTTGCATTACTGTACCCTTAACTTGTTCCATTACTATACCCTTAACTGGGGGGAGTTAAGTTAAGGGTATAGTAATGGGGCCCTTGGGGGCCAATTTGGAGGCCAATTTGGGGACTCGAAATCATTGATTTTTTTTTGGACCCCAAAACGGGCCCCAAAACATACCCCAAAACGGACCCCAAAACCCTTAACTGGGGGGTTAAGGGTACAGCGAGTTAAGGGTATAGTATAGTAATGGTTTTTACAACTTAATTCTGATTATTATACCCTTAACTTTTTCCATTACTAAGACTATACCCTTAACTGGGGGGAGTTAAGGGTATAGTAATGGGGCCCTAGGGGGCCAATTTGGAGGCCAATTTGGGGACTCGAAATCATTGATTTTTGGAGAGGTGACATTCACCAAATTCGGCATAGCATTTTGGTTTTGCCACATTAAGGGTACAGTAATGGAAAGTTAAGGGTACAGTTAAGGGTATAGTAATGGAAAATTAACGGTGCTGTAATGGAAAGTTAAAGGGGACAGTTAAGGGTATAGTACTGGAAAATTAAGGGTACAGTAATGGAAATTGAGGGGAAAGTTAAGGGTACAGTAATGGAAAATTAAGAAAAGTTAAGGGTACAGTAGTGGAAAGTTAAGGGGACAGTTAAGGGTATAGTAATGGTAAATTAAGGGTACGGTAATGGAAAGTTAAGGGTACAGTTAAAGGTATAGTAATGGAAAATTAAAGGTATAGTAATGGAAAATTAAGGGTACAGCAATGGAAAGTTAAGGGTACAGTAATGGAAAGTTAAGGGGACAGTTAAGGGTATAGTAATTGTAAATTAACGGTGCTGTAATGGAAAGTTAAGGGTACAGTTAAGGGTATAGTAATGGAAAATTAAGGGTATAGTAATGGAAAATTAAGGGTATGATAATGGAAAGTTAAGGGTGCAGTAATGGAAAGTTAAGGGTACAGTAATGGAAAGTTAAGGGTACAGTTAAGGGTACAGTAATGGAAAGTTAAGGGTACAGTTAAGGGTATAATAACGGATAAAGAAAATGCGTTAGTGCAACATAATAACTAATATGCCATCGTATGTCACATTTGATTCTGAATCTGAAGCCCGTCGGAACATGACATGGCCAGCCACAGCAGATACTGATGGACCCAGAGGGAGCATTGAAATATGCCTCTTTTCATGAAGGCTTGGTTACAATTTGAAGGCCCAGAAAGAAGGAAAAAATCATCAGGGTTTTGGCCGCGCTGGGCTCTGTCGTGGCCGGAATCCGGGATAGCTGCCCTGGCTACGCTGGTTTCCGGCCTTGGTTGCTTGCCGCGGGCCCGCCGCGCCCGGCAAACGCAAACTCGCGCGTAGGATCGGCCGGGGTTTTGGCCGCGCTGGGGTCTGTTGTGGCCGGAATCCGGGATAGCTGTTCCGGCTGCGCTGGTTTCCGGCCTTGGTTGCTTGCCGCGGGGCCGCCGCACAGACGCAAAATGACGCACCGCCACGCCAGGGAAACGCAAAAACGCGTGTAGATCGCTGATCTACGCGCGTTTTTGTTTTTTGCGCCGGGCAGAGCAGTGCCAGCGCACCTTGGAGAGGCCTCCAAGGGTCGGAAACGCCGTCCCAACCCGGCGGCCACGTTGGCTTATCCAGCGGACTGGAGTTCTGAGCCCGGGCCCAGCAGCCGCGCCAAAGCTCGACTCTCCCCGGGCGCGCCCTTCACAGGCTTGGGCTTGGCGTTTTTCGCTTGAAGGAAGCAAGTCATCACACGGTCAGTGTAGCAAGTCACGCTCGTGGTTGATGCTGAGCATTCTTTTTCGTATTTGATGTTTTCTTTTCTTGCTATGCACTTGCCAAGTAAGTGATGCGGCTCCGCTCTGCGGCTGTAACATGATGCATAAGTTGCTGTTCCGGCTACGCTGATTTTTTTTCTTGGTTGCTTGCTGCGGCGCTGCTGCACCTCCAAAACGCAAAAACGCGCGTGGATGAGCGATCTTTTGCATTCTACCGCTGGGCCTTGTCATTGCCGGAATCCGGGATAGCTGTTCCGGCTACGCTGGTTTCCGGCCTTGGTTGCTTTCCACGGGCCCGCCGCGCCAGGGAAACGCAAAAACGTGCTTAGATGATAGCTACCATTTTGCGTTCTACCTGGCTTTTGGCCGCGGTGGGTTCTGTCGTGGCCGGAATCCGGGATAGCTGTTCCGGCTACGCTGGTTTCCGGCCTTGGTTGCTTTCAACGGGCCCGCCACGCCCGGCAAACACAAAAACGCGCGTAGATGAGCGATCTACGCGCGATTTTGCGTTCTACCTGGGTTTTGGCCGCGCTGGGCTCTGTCGTGGCCGGAATCCGGGATAGCTGCTCCGGCTACGCTGGTTTCCGGCCTTGGTTTCTTTCCACGGGCCCGCCGCGCCCGGCAAACACAAAAACGCGCGTAGATCGCCTGCGTTATACCAGGGTTTCGGCCGCGCTGGGCTCTGTCGTGGCCGGAATCCGGGATAGCTGCCCTGGCTACGCTGGTTTCCGGCCTTGGTTGCTTGCATGTCGTTGAATTCGTTTCCTCTGCAGACATCCTTCCTAAACACATCGGTCGGTCGTGTATGAGGTTTTAAACAGAGGGATTTGGAGATACATTATTTTGAGACAACCCCACGTGATCCCTTCCTAGGCATTGTATGTCTATATATATATATATATGTATTTGCAGTGGATTAAAGCACCGAATGGGATCATGATACTGACGGATAGATTTATGTACATACTGCTTGAACATATTTTATATATGTGTATATATATATGTTTATATCTACATAATCACCCATATACTGTCCACCCAACAAACACCGACCCTCAAAACCGCCCATCCATTATATGTCATTAGTTAAGAGATCCGTATGCGTGCTGCCAGGCAAAGCGTGTTCAACGACCTCAACCTGGGCAACGACGTCACACTAATTTCGTTTTTCAGACGACCTCACTTAATTTCATTTTGAATTATTGAAAATAAGGTACGACCCAAGAAATATTGTAAATTGATCAGAAAGATGGGCATGTACCTTCGTAGGATGAATCTAACGCAGGCTTGTGCAGGCAGGGTCAAGGGGAATCCTGCAGAGGTTGTGCCTGGAAGTGCATGATGGCAGAGTCTCGACATATCATAGAATCCGGAGAAAGCGCTACATAGATTCTCTCCGCTTCATTGATCCTGAAAGCAGTTTGCCGGCGCTCTTTGCCCTCTCCAGTCGCTTCGCTGTCAGAACTTGTTGACAGACCATGCACATGTTCCAGATTTTTCCGCCCTTTTCCACATTGAATTGAAGCAAGCAGGGCATTGGGCTGTAGTTCTTCTTCAAAGTCTTGAATGTTGAGCCGCAAGCTCATGACAACCCAAGGTTCCGCTGGATTGCGTGTCAAGATCCCAGTGCCACAGCACCTAAACCAATGCGTCCCCAAAAATTCTTCCTCATGAAATCTTCCAAGCACCAGCAACAATATTATATGTGGCTGCAGTTTTGGACCTTTGCTCAGGCGCAGCAAGAGTTGGTCTCAAGTCTGGAACTGTCAGGTACCATGGAACTGTGGTGACTGTCATACTGTTTGCCACGGATGTTGACCTCCTGGAGAGTTCTTCTCAACAAAGTTTGTTCTGCCGTGGCTTCGCAAACTGTGTTTGTGGCGTCCGAGATGT